GGGGGTGCGGGGGGGACGGGATGGAGAATGTGTGACTGGGAAGCGGGATGGAGGGTGTGGGATCAAGAATGCGGGATTGTGATGCAGGGTTGGGATACAGCAGGGTCCAGGATTGGGATGCGGGATGCGGGATACGGAATGCAAGGCTGGGATACAGGACTGGGATGCAGCGGGCAGGAGGTGGAGTGAAGCATGCAGGGTTAAGAAAGAGGATGCAGGATGAAGGATTGAGCTGCAGGATACAGGCCATAGAATGCTGGATTGGGATGTGGGATGGAGGGTGTGGGATAAGGAATGCAGAATTGGAATGCAGGATTGGGATGCAGGATTGGGATGTGGGATGGAGGGTACAATGTGTGGGATATAAATTTAGGAATAGGATACAGGATACAGGGTATATGATGTGGGGTGCAGGATGAAGGTTGTGAGATGCAGGATGCAGGATTTGCATGCGGGATGCAGAGTAATTTTGTGCGATGCGGGATGCAGGATTGGGATGTGGGATGCAGGGTTCATGGTGCTGGAGGCAGGCTGCAGGATTGGGATGTGGGATGCAGGGCTCATGGTACTGGAGGCAGGCTGCAGGATTGGGATGTGGGATGCAGGGCTCATGGTACTGGAGGCAGGCTGCAGGACTGGGATCTGGGATGCAGGGCTCATGGTACTGGAGGCAGGCTGCAGGACTGGGATGTGGGATGCAGGGGTCATGTACAGTATGTGGGGTAGGGGTTCAGGGCTGGGATGTGGGGTGCACGGTATGTGAGGTGGGATGCAGGATGCAGGACTGGGATTCGGGATGCAGGGTGTGGGAGGGAGGACAGGAGGGAACAGGGGCCCAGCCCCAGCCTTCCACCAGGGACAAAGCTCTTTCCTTGGGCCTGGCAGCTGGAACAGGGTTATGGCCTCCCCTTCCACATCTCCTGCCAGGCCAGGGCAGCGTCACCCTTGTCACTCTCATCACCCTCATCACCCGTGCCACCCTTGTCACCCACATCACCCCCATCACCCTTGCCACTTGGGAGTGGCTGGGCTGCCCCAGGCTGTGTGCTCCTCAGGGCAGCAAGCCGTGGGCTCCTGGTCCCTGTCCCCAGCCCTGTCCAGCCTTGGCATGGCTGGCATGTCCCTACATGGGCTGCGACCCAGCAGGAACAATCCCTGGTGCTTTATGGGAGAGGCAGCCACGGACTGTGGGGGGAGATTAAACAACCTGGTCGTTCATAGAGCCTCAGCAGCTGCCCATTCCCCAGAACCAGAGATTATCCCATAATTAATTAATTAGGGTATTTGCTGCCATACGCAGGCCTGCCTGGTGCAATCCAAGTCCTCTGTCTCCAGGAGGAGCTTTCAGGGGGGATAGTCCCCCCTCCCTGCTAAGGCATGGCCTCAGTGATGGAGGGGGCTGAGGCCATAAAGGAGGGAAAGGGTAATGGGGGGAGGGGAGGATGCACAGGGATGGAAGGAGGGGTGGAAGCAGGATGGGGGCGGACAGCGAAGGGGGGATGTGAGGGCAGTGATGAAGATGATGGGGAGGGCTGAAGGGGATGGAGAGGGATGGCAGGGGATAGAAGCAATGGAGAGGGAGGAAGAGGGGATGAAGGAGGGAAGGAGGGGGATGAAGGAGGGATAGGGAGGGATGGAGAGGGATGGAGAATGAATGGAAGAGATGATGGGGGATGGACAGGGATGGAGGGGGGTGGGGTGAGATGGACGGGGATGGAAGCAATGCAAAGGGATAGAGGGGAATGAAGAAGGGATGATGGGGGATGGAAAGGGATAGAGGGGGTGGAGGGGAGAAGATGGGGGATGGAAGGCATAGGGTGGACTACAGAGACAGGATGGAGAAGGGATGGGGGAGCAATGAGGAGATGGGAAGGGTAGAGGATGGAAAGAGGGGACAGTGGGGGGACAGCAGGAACTATGGAGGACTCGCCTGCCCTATCCCAGGAAGGGTCTGCCCTGCTGCAGCCCCCAAATCCTGGCTACCCCTCATATCACTGTGCCATGGGGCAGGGACCCTGGTGTTGCCCATCTCTGCTGGTGGCACTGGCTCAGTGTCCCCACGGTGGGTGGATTCTTAGCCCAGCTCTCCCAGGAGCCTGCAGCTGTGGTGTCCCTGCCCCACATGGTCGCAGGACCCGGCTGTGGTGAGAGACAGGGGTGACACAGGGGTGATACTTAGGCAGGGCATGACAAAAGCACAAAGTGACACAGAGGGACAGGTTGACATATCAGGAGGGCGTGACATGTAGGGAGGGGGCATGGGAAGGGACAGTGTGACACGTCAGGTTGGGATGAACTGTAGGGACATGGTGCCACAGGGATAGGATGACACGTAGGGGCAGGACGACACGTAGGGACAGAATGACATGGAGGGACATGGTGACATGGAGGGCAGGGTGACAGGGTGCCATGTAGGGACAGTCCCTTGCCCGCAGGTGTCAGCACTGGACCGGTATCTGCTGCTGGTGGCCGGGGGCCTCTGGCCTGGCCTCGGGGCTGACTCTTAGGGCAGCCCAGGGCTGTCAGGATGGTGGGGACAGGGGGGGCAGCGGACCCTCATTGTGCCCCTCCTGGGCCAGGCCCGGGGGGCATGGGCAGGGGCACTATGGGGCGGGGGGCCCCACAATGCCCCCAAAGCAGTGAGGACAAAGCCCTGTGCTTCTACTCACGGCCTCCCGGGTAGATCCCTGTGAGGGGACACCACCCCACTGCGACACAGACCCCAGTGTCTGAGGGTCTCCACAGCCCCAGAGGGACCCTTCCCCCTCCCTGGTACTGCACCGGTGTCAGTGCCACAGCCAAGGTGGGGTCGAGCATTCCAGGGGTGACATTGAGCTGGGACATGGTCCATCCACTGACATCCCTAGGACACCACAGTCACTCCTAGGACACTGCAGCCATCTCTGGGACACCACTGCCACTGAGACACCACTGCCAGCACCATGGTCAACCCTGGGCCACCAAGGCTGTCCCTCGGACATCACAATCACCTTTGGGACACTGCAGCACCACTGGGTCACCATGTCTGACCTGTGGACAGTATGGCCATTTCTGTGACACCACAGCCATCTCTGGGACACTTTGGCACCACAGGGAAACTGTGGCCATCCCTGGGACAGGGTGGACATCTCTGGGACACCATGCCATCCCTGACCTGTGCCCCATCCTGGCCACCAGCAGTCCTCAGACCCCCGTGGGGGCACAGGAGGGAGGCTGCCCATGTGGCTGGTGGCAGAGACCCTGGCACAGGCGGCTCCTTCCATCAACCTGGCTGTGATAGTTGGTCAGGATAGGGTGGTGCAGGATGGGATGGGAAGGGATGGGAAGGGAAGAGCTATGGCCCCCTGAGCCTCCCCCCCAGCTCCCATGGAAACACAGCCAAGCTCTGCTCCGGGGAGATGCTCCGTGCTGGAAAAAATGCTGGAAAATGTCAAAGGAGCCAATTCCCAGCCCTTGTGGGTGGCCGGGGGTTGGGGAGGTGGGGGAAGGACTGTGGCCCCGTGTTTCCACCAGCTGCTGGGACAGTCCCCATCCTGGGACAGCCTGCCAGTGCAAGGCATCCCCTGGGGCTGGGGGGGGGGGGCTGGGGGTGCCCCGCCC